TGGGGTGCCCTTTCCTTCCTTCTCTCCCCCCCCCCCTCCGCCTGGGGTGCCCTTTCCTTCCTTCTCTCCCCCCCCGCCGCCTGGGGTGCCCTTTCCTCCCAACCACGTGCCCCCCCTCCCCCGGGAAGCCTCTGCTCTGGGCTCTGTCCCGGTCACCTGCGGCGAGCCTGCGGTGGGGTGGGCCGGGCTCCTCCGCGCACGCCTCCGTGGTTCCGCAGACCAGTGCCTGGGAGTGTTTTCCTTCTTCAGAGCTGGTTTGTTTGCTCCCTGCAGGGGTCCGGCCACCCTGCCTGAGCTCGCAGCTTTCAGTCTGGGATGTGACATCAGTGTGTCCTTTCCCCTGTTTCTCTCTGCCGCCGCCGCCGGGTGTTCCGTGCGCTCCTCTGCACGTCGCTCTCCCCGGGAGCTGTGGGAAGATTTGAATCCCGTGCCTTGGCCTTTTTCTATAATAGGCTGCGTTTCATTGCATCATCTGTACGTGATGATGGATTTAGTCCTGAAGGACAGTGCCGGTTCTTCCCACTTTACTATTTTGATGGAAAAAGAACAAAAAGGGTGACCTGCCCGTTGCCACAGGCCCAGTTGTAGCGGGCGTCCGCGCCCCACAGATAGTTCGGGGTGGGGGCCTGTCGTTCGCACGGTTAACACGTTCCGGCCGAGCTGCTGTTGCTGGTCCGGGCCGTAGTTTGAGGAGGATCGCGCAGCTTTATTTGTTCCGGTGTTTGGATCATCTCAGCATCTGTGCCTTTTTCTTGCAGGTATAGCCTGTCGTACATCCCGTACGCAAGGTGAGACTGTTCGAGCTCCATCGAGTCGTTTCTGATCCTCTGCTCATCTTTACACAGATGCGTGACTTTCAGGACACGCACCTTCAGATGTGATGCAAAAGGCTGTTTTTTTTTTGTAGACTTTGATTTCTTCCCCCCGCCCCCCCCGCCCCCATTACTTTTTAAATAAGATGAACAGAAGTTTGCTGTATAAAAGCAAAACCATTTGGAACATGTGGAACAGACAGGCTGGAATTTACTCCTGTTTTTACCAACTGCACATTTGCAGTTAGGAATTTTTGAGAAGAGATTCTCGATCCTTCTATGACTGTAAATACTCAGTAAATGGGATGGAGACGCCAGGGAAACAAATTCTACATTAAAACAAAACCAAACCAAACCAGGAGGTTAGTGAGAAGCTGAGGTCTGGTACATCTGCATTTGTTTCAGGCCCGTAGAAACGTACTTATTTTCTGTGTCAGGAGGAACTACCATTTTCTTCTGTTTTTTTCAGGGAGGGCACTAATTTAGTTGTTGGGGGGAAACTCAGTATAATCTTATACTGATTATTATACTATAATCTCAGTGTAATCTTAGACCTGACAGGTTCAAGAAAGTACTGTTGAGGCACAACTTGGCTTCTCTGAGATTTGGGAACAGGTTACATATGAAAAACAGCGAAATTGTGTGCCTGATGTGAACAAGGAAGGAAGTTGTAGAAATTCTACTTTTATTCATTTCAAATGGATGATTGCTTTTGATGAGTGCTTGCAAGGAGGAAAAGCAGACGGGCTGGCCCAGCTGGGCAGCGGTACAGGAGGGGCTACAGGGGACTCGCTGTCCCCGGGACCTCACCCAGGAGACCTCAGCAAGGGGACAGGTCACCTAGAAATGACACCCACCCCTGTAAGACTGAGCTCAGAGCCACAGCCAGGCTCCTGGAGAGCGGCTAACCCTTGCCTTCAAGGAGGGCAGTGTATAGAATCTGCTGGCATGCCTCCAGTTCCCTGGTGCGTGCCTCCATTAATTTTTTTTGTTCAGGTTTTTTTTTTTTTTAAAAACTTAATCTCTACACTGAGCGTGGGGCTCAAACTCATAGCCCGGGTCCCGACTGAGCCGGCCAGGCGCCCTGATTGGTGTGTGCTTTTAATAGTCCGTATGCAAATAGTAATTTCAGGTGAATAAAGTATCAAGTAATAGTTTATTTTTTTAAACTTTTTTTTTTTAATGTTTTATTTATTTCTAGGGTAGAGAGAGAGAGATAGCGTGAGCAGGGGAGGGTCAGAGAGAGGGAGTCACAGACTGAAACAGGCTCCAGGCTCTGAGCTGGCAGTCAGCACAGAGCCTGACGCGGGGCTCGAACCCACGAACTGCGAGATCATGACCTAAGCAAAAGTCGGACGCTTAAATGACTAAGCCACCCAGGCACCCGTCAAGTAATAGTTTAAACAAACTGTTTTGGAAAGAAAATGTGAGAGGTGAACAAAGTCATGGGAATTTGTTTTATTTATTTATTTTTGAATTCTGAGGATTTGTTAGAAACATTTTGCTTCCTAAAATCCAGTTCTTCATTTTATTTATTCATCTGTTTATTTATTTAAAATGTTTTTATTTATTTTTGAGAGAGAGCGTGAGCGGGGGAAGTGCAGGGAGAGAGGGAGACACAGGATCCACAGCAGCTCCAGGCTCCGAGCTGTCAGCACAGAGCCCGACGCGGGGCTCGAACTCATGAACCGCAATTCGGAAGCTTAACTGACTGAGCCACCCAGGTGTCCCCAGTTTGTTATTTTAAAAATTGTTTCTTTTGTTATTTTTGGTATTTATTATCTTAATATTAAGATTAGCATACATGCTGGAAGAGATCTCATAGACTAAATGCCATTTCTGACATTAAAACGTTATTTTGAGATTTCAGTTCTTAATTTCCAGTGACACTCAGCGAAGTTTTAGTCAGGATGTTTCAGTGGCTCCCCTGCGTCCCCGGTAAAATGTCCCACGGGTCTGTCTCTTGACAGGAGTGTTTTCTCCATTTGCCCCTGAGGCAGATTGTGACATTGATTTTCCTTTTCTCCCACCAGGGATGCGGTGATTAAATGCTGTTCTTCTCTCTTAAGTTGAAAGCGAGACATCCTTTGCAGAGAGCACCGGAAGGCTGCTCTTGCGTTTCTGGTGAACACGCTTCTCCCGCAGCAGCCGTCATCTCCGTGCAGCTGCCGTGACAGCTGGGACTGTGGCGTGCGCCACTGTCAGCGCTCGACTAAACCGTTAAACACTCGTAACGCAAAAGTCATGACTCGTCATTAATGTGCTCTTCCCCCCGATTAGGAGATTTTAATCCTTGCCGACTGTAGATGATTTTTCGCTAGTGTTTTACCCTTCGCTAAGCAGCATTTGAGATGTGAATATTTAAGGGAAAGCTGTCGCAAGCTCTTCTACAAACGTCTGTGTTTTTACAATCTTTTTTTTTTTAAAAAACACCTTAAATGTGAAAGTTTTTACTTTAAGCTCAAAATTGCTTATTGTATAATAAAATAATATATAAACCTTTACAGTTTTGAAATAAACTCACCCTTGGAAAAAACGTTGTCTGGGCCGGATTTGTGACGGTGTTGGTGGCGACACGATGGCCGAGTGCGTCTGTAGAGGGAGGGGTGAGGGGCAGCCTCTGCCCTAACGACGCCCCTGAAGAAACCTTTGCACAAGACCACGGGACGGTGGTGCAGAAGGCAGGGAAGGGGTGTCCTCCGCACCGGAAAGCACACCGGGAAGTCGAGGAGGAGGGTGGAGCATGGGGGGCTGCGAGCCGTGTCCACGGGCCAAGTCGCGTAGGTGAGGCAGCCCCAGGAGGAGGCTGCTTTCACCCCTGCGCTGAAGGAGTGGCTGGGGGAGGGGGGCCTGGCAGGGCCACTGGAGGGGAAGCAGGGGTGAGGAGGTGAAGCCCGGCTCCCCCCTCCTGCTCCGAGGTCACCCCCTCCCCCGCCCCTACGGGCTGGCCCTGGTCCCAGCGGCACGCAGGGCTGCAGCGGAGGGGCTGGCACAGGCCTGCGGTGCAGGGAGGATGGCCCTGCTCGGTGCGGTTTGAGGGTCGATGATGAAGATGCGGGCTCGGCGCAGGTGCCGGGAGAGCCGGCCCCTCAGAGCTTCACCCGGAAGACAAGCCCGGGCTGGGCGGGGGGCAGGCGTGGGGACATCATCGCCCGGACGGGGTGGGCCGGGAGCTCGGCGTGCTGGGAACTGGCGGAGGCTGGGGGGCCAGGCCAGGCCCAGACCCCACGCCCTAAGGGATGGTGGAGGTCAGCGTAGGGCATAACACCTCCCCCCGCCCCCCAAGAGGTCCCAGTTATGTGGCGGCCGTGGTTCCACAGTCACGGGACACCGTGGGAGGGTGGAGAGGACAGCTCCCCACGCTGTGCGCGCAGGGGTGTGCAGGGCAGGGAGGAGGAGGGGGAGGACGGCGTGCACCCAGGGGAGCGGGGCGTGTGCAGGGCAGGGAGAAGGAGGGGGAGGAGGGCGTGCACCCCAGGGGGGCGGGGCGTGTGCAGGGCAGGGAGGAGGAGGGGGAGGAGGGCGTGCACCCCAGGGGGGCGGGGCGTGTGCAGGGAAGGGAGGAGGAGGGGGAGGAGGGGTGCACCCCAGGGGAGGCGGGGCGTGTGCAGGGCAGGGAGGAGGAGGGGGAGGAGGGCGTGCACCCCAGGGGAGCGGGGTGTGTGCAGGAAGCGCACTGAGGGGTGGAGTGTGACCGGGAAGCGTGGACGCTGAGAAGAACGCAGCGAGTAGATTATCTTCGTTGGCAGAAGGC